TATGTATCTAACATAATTTAAAAACGATTACCCGTAGAACGTGGGATTTTTTTATAGAACTGCTATAATATCTAGTTATGCAACTTCCTTTTTAATTTCAATAGACAGTACAATAATATATGTATATGTATCTACCGCCCCTTAGCATGCTTAAAAGTCCTTCTGAATTGTTGGTCATAGTCATACATTTCAAATTACAGAAGTATTTTAAATGACGAAAATATTCATGTTTTAGCAACGCTAAATTTTAAAAGAATCAAAATAACTAATTTTAGACACATAGCGAAATTTAAATTTTAATGCGATCTCCCAGTTCCTATATTTATATTTGGGAAAGTTTTATACTTGTTATGAAGAAGTAAAAACACAAGAAGGCTGACTCCTTTACACAAAAATTGACCCGCATATGTAATTTCAAAATTTACAATTTTTAATGTCATTTTAAATTTGCTTTGGAACTGGTTAATTAAGTTAGAATAATTCGAGGAAATAAGTTCAAATGAAATGCAGCAAAAATTGTGCATAACTTAATATACGATAAAAGGAGGTCATGTGGTGCCCACTCCAGATTTTTTTAATATTCCTCTAATGGTTGCAATTCCTAATTCGCATAATTTGTAATGTATCTAATTCATAAGTTCTTAAACATTTAAGTGCTGTAGTAATTAGTAAAAGATGTTTCCATTTCCAGGAGTTACCTGTCTCAGTATTGACTATTTTATACTGCAGATTTCAGAATATAACCATTTTTATAGTCTGACATGTAACGGTTTTTAGGTACGTAAGATCATTTTAGAACCTTTCCTGAAAATAAGGTGATATAGCTCTATGCTTGTTTAACAGAACATTCCAACGTGAGTTATACAGTTCCAGTGCGTGAGTGACTATGTGAAATAAGACACTAAAAGCCATAAAATGTGAATTTTTATTCGGGAGTGCTATACACTCTTTGTTCCAGGGTTGTGCACCATGTGCAAGTGGGATTGTGCGCAGAATCGTTGGCAGTCTCGTTCAAGTGGCGTAACACGTGACTAACCCGATTCAGGACAGACAGACTGACAATTGGAATCAGGTACTTTACAGATGAAAGAGCACCATGCAGTTTCATTATGGTCTCTTAAACAATGTGTACAATTATGATTAGGAAACAACTATAAATATTTAGGATATCTTCTTAAGCTTTAAACTAAGAATCTGCTTGAGGACTTGAAATAATATGCGTATATATATTTAAGGCTAATAAAAACTGAGTTTTCTGAATTATTTATTTCAAAATAAAGTAATACTAAATCTATTCTTTCGTTAATTCTTCAAAATCTTAAACTCCTTTTTTATTTTTGCAGCGTTAGCAAACGTTTGATAAAAGATCAGCGAGTGCATATTTTTCCAAGTTTTGTAATATATAATTTGTATGTTACACAACTATAATTTTTATGTATAAAAATGAAGAGCATATAGATTAACTTCTTCCGTAATGGTGGAGTTTACAACATAGTTTATTTATCAGCTATTTGCACAATTTTCGAAATTAATTAATCACATTTGATACGGTTTGGTTTGTTTGATTATGGCAAAGCAGTCGTGAGATATCTGCTATATTCGATCAAATATTTATTGATATTTTAACAGTTTTCCGAAAAATAGTTTTCAAAATTCCAAAATTATTTTCCTTATATAATGCAGATTATTATGCTTCTTTCTTTTAAATTTTATTATCTATTATTTATTGAAGGGCCAGAACATAGCAAGTTTAGTCTTTTAAAGTAGTACTTCGATGTTTTCTTCAAATCTAATGTAAAATTAATGCATTTCTGTTATTCGCTAATAAGATTAAAAGTCTTTGTATAAGAAAAATTATGAAGCAAATGAAATTCTATAAATGTTGTTAAGTGAAATTTGTATTTAAAAATTACCAAGAAACAAAAGTAAGGATTAACATATTAAAATAACATGTACATCTTTTACAATTAACGTATGAAGCAATTAGACTTATTTACAGAGACTGCGCTGTTTAGTACTTGCTTTTTATCTGGATGGGTTTAAAATGTTGATGTTAAACTTATCCGAAAATTAATACTTAAGAGGAGTTTATAATCGATCATAAATCTCCAAGATTAAGTAAATATAAATAAACAGTATGAAATAAATACGTCGTAATGTAGGGTAACAAAACTAGTCTGAATAAATAAAAAAAGTTTTATTTCATATTTGACCATTCAGTGTGATGGTAATTTATCATCTTTTGTTGCTGCAGTTTTAGCAGAATAATTTAATATCTTAAAGTATAGTTTCATAAATTATTAATTGTGATTTTCATGTGCTTATAAACAGCTTATATATAAGGCTTGCTACCTTTTAAGTCGGTCATGTAAAATAACAGGAAAACAAATTTACGTAATAATGTAATATCAGAATATTTATATATACTCGTTTATGATGCTTAAGTTAATACGATTTGAACACGTGAGAAAATATACTAGAGTAAATAAATTTAGAATTAAGGGAATTTCACTGTTATGTAAAATCTCTTCGTCGAATAAATGGATTATGTATGTGTAATATATTATTCAAAAATTAAATTACATATTTTCTATTATGTTGCTTACCTTTTTCTTAAACGCATTACTGGTTTCTGTGAATATATTGGATTGTCTTTTTTATTCCTGAGATTCAATGCCCAAATTTTGGGGAACCATAAGTTAAAAATTTAACTCCTACTATAGATTTATATTGAGTGAGCATGTTTAAAAATCTTGAAAATATTCAATTAAAGGAAATTTTGATAAGAAACTAACTTTGGTTTATTTACCTGATTGTTGCAAAGCACGCTAAGGCTATATGCCTAAACGGAGGGAGGCCTTCATGGTCTCTGAGAGAAACTAGCTCGTATCCACGTTACATATGGGGAAAATCACGAAAACACCCATACAACCAGCCCGTTCACCTGGAGTCAAGTCCAGATTGAACTACCAATATTCAGCAATTTTATCACTCGGCTGCTAGTGGACAATATAAATGTAACAATAATGTTAATGTGGCAAAAGTAAATTTCCACGTCTTTTTCTCTTTTGGTTATTTCTTTTCCGTCCCTCAGGGGAGTACAATACAGAAAGTAATGCAAATTTTCTTTAATACAGAATGAGTTTTAAATTGCTCGGATACTTAACTGTAATATATGATCACTGAGAATTTGTTTCTATTTCAGCGATATATTCGTTGCTAGTGAATTGCCCTGCCCGCACTATCAGTGACCTGGCGTATTAGGATTTCATGAGACTCGAGTTAATATTACAGTAGTAAGGAGTAGATTGTCTTCGGACGTATGCTGTGAAATTCAGCTTGATTTGTCATCTTCTAAAATTAATTGTTTGTTAACACTCTAGAATCAAGCGATTGTTGTGCTGTGTTATAATTTATTTAAGACTATTGTACTGTAAATACTGGCAAAGAACATTTGTTGCGAAAGTTACTAATTTACTGGTAGCCGTTTTTCAAGACATTACTTGTAGCTTAAGTTTGTCTGCTACATTGAGTCAGAGTGAATGAGTTACGAATTTCAAGTTAGAGATTAACTGTATCAAAATAGCTATCACACAAAATGGGCTAAGTAAAAATCAGTGATAAGAAGAAAATAACTGTAATTTATAAAGGGTAATTCATTGATAATTCTTGATGAAATGAACCACCAATTACACGGCCTTCATAGTAAAAACTATTATGTCAAATACGAGGAGAAGCTGTTTAATTATAGAAACATTTTGTTTTAAGCATGTAGAGTTCAAAGAAATTTTCTCCAAGTAATAATTCTTTTATAGCACTTAAAAAGATAGAAATTTTTTCTTATTGAAAAGTATTTATCACTAAAATATTATAATATACTTCCTTTTTATACGAACGGTTGTCTTATGGTCTCTTGAAAATAGTTCTTGTTTAATAAAGGGTTATTTTACTATTAAAGAATTAGCCAGTGGAAGGACTTTGGGTCTTTTAGCTGCGATAAATTACATGATTTTGATGTGATTGGAGAAAATATCTTGAGCTAAATATTTTGCATATTGCATCAAACCGTTCTATCCAGAAATACATAACTATGAAAAAGGAAACTGATTTTAAAAAACCATTTGTTTGTTAGCATGAAACGATGTCTAATAGCGATGCAATCTGTTGAAAATGAGAAAACAAAAATGAGGCAATATACCAAATAATGTTCCTGAAAGTGATGGGTGAAAAGATTGTAAGGCCATATTTTTAGATTAACACAGGAAGAGGTAGAAACTCTGTCGCAGTGAGAAGTAAAAGCACAATGACTGTGTGCAGTAAAATCTTAACTTTTACATATATTTCAATATCTTCCGACTTATTTTTTTGAATTAATATGACGTTGCTTTCGTTCTTGGTTTCTGAATGTTAATTAATATGACGAACAATAGCTTTTTTTATTTTTGAGTGTGAAAGGGAGGTGAGAAGATCCTCTTATTAATTTATTTTTGTTCAAAATAATTTTACCTTAAACAATATTAAAATATTTGATAAAAATGATAATAATTAATAAAATCGTGCTTCTGGAATAGCGAGAATAGTTCTCATTGTTACGAACAATTTAAAAAAGAACGTAGTTGTTTTAGTATGCTTGACTGTCTTATCATATCAAAACTAATTACCTTTGCTAGCTAATAAAACTGGCATAAAATTATGCTAGTTTCATTTTATGAAATTTTGCTAAAGCAAAAATTTCATTAAATAAAAATTTGCTACTATGACGTTGAAATAAAATTCATTATTTTCGAATGTCTAACTTTTGGTATTCCTTTTGAAATGAAATTTACAAATAAAATATTCTTAAATTTTAAAAACATTTTACCAATGTTATAAAATTACTTTTTTTTCTTAAAAACAAAACATACATACCTGAAGGAATTATTTTGAATTTTTAAAATTTAAACATAGTTATCTAGATCTTCTCATACATATATATATATATCAAAATATTTTCTGTGTGCATATATATATATATATATGACACTCTAGAATCAATATATATAACACACCTATATTATTATTATTATTATTTTCGATATGGTGTTTTCCGAATTGAATATGGAAAACATTTTAAACCTATATTTAATTTATTTTAATTTACTTTGTATTATATATATATATATATATATATGTATTGCAAAATAAATTAAAACGATATTAATCTCTCTCTATATATAATATATATTGGAAAGGTTTAATATTGATTTTAGAATTTCCTTTTCAGGGAATATGGATTAACGCCAGTGTTGCTTTCCAATAATTATACACTTTCAAAATAAACAACGTTTTAATACCGAATAAACCGTTTGAATCCCGAATAAACAACGTTTGAGTACCTTAACGTTAGTTCCATATCGTAAATGTAAGTATATGTGTAATGTTAATTCTTGATTTATAAATATTTTATTCATTTTATGCTTTGACACACTTGTATTAGTGTTTACTCGAAAACTTTTTAAGAATCTGAAAAATTGACTGCATAAAAACCACTTCAAAATTTCAGGTATAGATGCTATTTTTACGCTTTTAGCATTATGTTTATGATTACACATTTTTATCACTATGTTTATGATTACTTTTAGCATTATGGTTATGATTTGCCTCTTTTGTACACAGAATATCAAATTTAACAGTTATTTCCTACGTGAAGTTTTAAATGAATATTATGAGCCAGTGATTCAATAGAGAAATAAAACCTGCAGCTGCATTCACAGCAACTGTGAGTTTCAGAGAACACAATAAAACAAAATGCAAATTATTGTTGTGGAATTCTAATAAATTTGCCTTAACACTGCTAATTATATAGTCGATTTCTTACATAAAATTAAGCATACATGATTTAGAAAGAAGTCGTATTACACAATTTAAATTTCAAAAAGTTGTTTTTAAATCAAAGTTTGTAGAACCCGTACATTTGGAAGCAATACATGAACTAAAGGGAAAGAATAATTGCTTGCCGAAATGTCAGAGGAAATATTGTTATGAGGAAATTTTGATTGGGTTTAAGTTCTTTTTATGATACAAAAAGTTATGACCATGAGAAATAATCGTCTAGATAAGGTTTCTCAAATTTTAGCTGAAAAGCATTGATGTAATTAATTTCTCAATCAAATTTACCTCTAAAGGTACAGAGCTAGAAGTAAAATTTCGTATAATTTTTTATCTATGTTTAAGGATAAAAACATAGTAAATATAATGAATTCTTCAACGCTTTAAAAAGGACATAGTTATGATAGCTAGAATAATATCCAAAATACGTAGAAAAGTGTATGAAAATTTTGGGCACTTTGGTGAGTTGTATCTGATTTCCCTGTTTCTATTAAAGAGATTTTAGAAGTGTACAAGTATTAGTTCAATTGCTTTCTGAAAACCTTTAAATTATCTATGGTGATACAGATCTAATTTGCATGTTTGGAAATATTTTTTATTTTCTTACAAATGCGAAACTCTAAAAAAATATTTTTTAAACTCAATTTTTTTCTAAATATATTACTGAAAAGATAAAGTGATCACAACCAAAATAAATTATCTATTAATTCATTCCAAATTATCAAAATTCTTTAACTCAAATTTCATATTTTAATATTTTTTTAACGAGTTATTTTTAACGAGTTATTATGAGAGTTATTTTACGAATATTCTATAACGTATGCTGTTTTGTATGCACTCAGAATTGGACAAAAATCTCAACAAGTAATGCTTGATTAATAGCTGAATTAAAGACGAATTCCATTGCTTTTTGAAATACAAATTTTAATTAAATAATATTTTCCTACTTTTTTAAAGTGTTTCGTTTGTTGTTCTGCAGCCTCTACTTTCAGTCAAATTTTAGTCAAATTTAGCTTAAATAACTTCTCTTTAATACTTTTCTTTATTTTCACAAAACTGCATTAATATATGAAATGAAAAATTTTTAAGATAGACATAACTTGTTTTTTTACTCCTTAATCCAATGTTCATCGAAAACTAGCTGAAATTTTAGTTTTGATACATTTTTAGTTTTAATACAGTCAGTATTTCAATGTTTCTCGGAAAGAATTTCAATCTTTAAACGGTTTGAAACGAAAATAAAAATTCCTTGTAGTGCAAATGTTAGAAATATTTAAAAATCTTTATTTTTTAAAAAAGAGGGGTTACTGCTTGTTCATAAATAGTTTCTGATAACATAAAATAATGCAAGCTTGGGACAACTAAATGTTATTAACAAAATAATGAAAATGACTACATAACTAAGTAGTACGATATTGTAAATAGGAAATTATTATTTTAAGAAAATAGCAGATGCTCCATATTTACGTATTTCAAACGACTAAAATGAGTGAATGGAGCCACTAATATGTACATGATTAAGTTTTAATTCCAGGATTATGAAAACCATGAAAATATGTATTTCATATATAATATATGGCATATATAATATATGTCATATGTATAGAATTTACATTCTACGTTGAAAGAATTTTCAGAGTTAAGATTACCTTTTTGCTGCAATAAAAGATCTTTTTTACGAATTCCTCACATTATCATTTCGGATACTCAATTTAGTGCATAAAGATATCGACTAAATACTAATAGGTAGCTGCAACATGGTTTCACAATATTATTGAACTATTAAGCAAACAGATTTATACAGTATACCACACGTTAGCTTGACTTTCATCTTCATAGTTTAAGCCACTATTTTTGTGTTTTTAGAAAAATACAGTTTTAGCAATACGCAATTAAAGGCTACAAATGCAAGTTCTATTATATTATAAAATTTCTGCAATATGCACGTTCCATCCAAGCACAACATAAAATTGCCCAGAACGTGCTGATCCTAAGCTGATGGGTTAATATTATAATGGAAATAAAATAAAATTTATAAATATATGGACGAATTTGAGTGGAAATATTATAGGAAATGTTAGTTCAATTTCTAAGTAGTGATATATTTTATAATTGAAGCTCTAATATTTTTAAGTAATAAAGATATATATTTTGTACATTTTCGCATTTAATTCTCCATACGCAAATTTCACAGAGCATTCTAACTATGTTTACTTTATTATATATATATATATTTATATATATGTAATATATATGTAAATCCAGAAAGAAAAGGATAAAATACCTTCATGAGCTTATTTGTATGTTAAAGCAAAAATGCTTAGAGCGATAAAAATTACTTGCTATTAAAACTTGAATTTTCTACTAAACTATGAAAACATTGTTCGTATTTATACTTGTGTAAAAGCCGTATTTATACTTTCAACTGGGCATACAAATTTCCAATTATTAAAAACTACAATAAATTTTATTTCTGAAAGTTCAGAAATTATGTCCATTGTATTAGAAATATCAGAGATTAAGGGTTAGAAATCATTTTTAGCTAAGTAATTTACCAAGATGCTTTATGAAAATACTTTTCTTTACTTTCTTGTAGTATCATAACAGATTTAAAAAAATTCAAATAAATATCTCCGGCTGGAACTGAAATTAAATTTTGGAAGAAACACTACCGAAAAAGAAACATTAAACTGCATCGCGGGCAGTGAGTGAAACCTCTCGTATAGTCTCGTTTAGACGAGAGTATTCTTTGAGCATTTTGTTAAATACTTGCTACTCATATTAACTGATGCCATTTTGCTATTTTAAAGTGTTTCATAAAATACGCAATGACTGCTTCAGGTATTTAAATGAGTAGAAGCATCCAAAAAGTGTTAAAAGACATCCAAAATGTGTAAAGTTTCAAGAGCATCTGGAAATGTTCACAAGCACCTGAATATCGTGCAATCTACCTCTATACTACATTGTAAGTTGGGAATAGAGGGGTAACATTTTGTTGCGACCTTTACGGTTACGCCACTGTTCCTGACATAATACCGCTTGTTTCGTTTATTAATAAGTATTTGTTAAGCCTACGTTTGGATTATTCCATCCACCGTAATATTCCACGAATTGCTTATATCTATAACGAAAAGTCACTGAAAGATGTCTTTCAACGCTGCAAGACCGCAGATCAATGAGGTTTTCTTCAGCGTACAGATGGCGCTGTAGGTTTGGAATGGACCTCTCAAAGAGGCGCGAAAACGAAAAGCAAAGCAGCTGCCAAAACTGCTCCGATCAGGAATAGTACCAAAAGTAATCGGTCTGTTACCTGTAAAGAAAGAAAGCAAGAAATAAGATGGAGAATAAAGAAAACGTTCTTTAAAAGTAACAAATACTCAAAGTAGAAACAAATTACGATTAATTATTAAATTCGAATAGCCTTTGAAAATGATAGGTGTTACAGTAGAATTTCGAATATCATGATTAACTGGGACCATATACCATTAATATACCATTAAAACACCTAGATAATTGGGTTGTCCTTTTGAAAGAAAATTATTGAAAATTATTTTCCAGTTTTTGTAGTTTACTTTAACAAATGTTATGAAGTTAAAAAATACATGAAAAAAATCAAATAAATTTCCTTTAAAAAAAAAAAAAAAAAAAAAAAAAAAAAAGGCCATACGCATTTTCTCCAAAAATATTAAGGAATGAATTATTTTTTTTTTATTTCTCTAGATTAATGGTCTCCACTTTGGAAGTTTTGCTTGTATGAAAAACGTTTGGCCATAAACGCACATATTACACTTTTAGTTTTGATTAAATTTATTTGGTCGCCTTGTAGCTTTGAAGTGGTTTCGGAATATTAGACAAATCAGTCATTCCCATAAGCTATGTCATTTTTTAAATTAATTAAACTGAGTCACAAATAATTATCTTTAATTCCCAGGAATTGCAAAAATGAATCAATGAGTGATAAAATCGATTCAAACATGCATTTTTAGATCACCAATGAACTACTGTGTTAAGATGTAAACGATGATAATCTTTCTAATTTTCCAAATAAAGAGTATAATGTATTCTTCCACTTTTCTAGCGTGCATTCGTGGTATAGTGGTTCTGCACACTGGGCCAATATTCCAGAGGTCCACGGTTTGATTTCCGGCGAAGGCTTTGTTAACCCATTCCCTGCCATGATCCCCATATGGGGATCGCCTACATTTGTATACATTGTGACGTCATGCTGTACCTGGGTGGTCCCTTACGGGTGGTCATGCTTTCCTGAAGATTGAAACTAAGGGTAGAAATCTTAGACAAACACGTGGACTCAGTTAGTTCAAACGCGAAAGTGTATAAATTCATGTATATCTTCGGAAATTTTGAATAAAAAATGTATTTTTTGCAGGTATGTTTAGAAATTCGTCTACTTTAAGATGATGGTAAAATTTTACAGATTATAATTCAAATGTTTTTGAAAAGATTTTTAAAATACAAATTTAAAAAATAAACCATAAAAAATGAGTGAATTGTATTTGGAATGAACCTGAATTTCGAAATGTGAAAGGAAGAATCAAATAAGTTTAATAAAAAAGGAGAGATTAATAAATATATAAAAAACTCCATTAACATTGAGGAGCTAAAATTTTGAGAGCTAAGTTTTTAAAAACTGCTCGTGCGATTTTTACAAAATTTGTAGTTTGGCGTAATCATAGGATCGAAAAAACATTGGTATGTTATTTCAGAAAAAGTCCGAGTTTGTTGCAAAATACCTGCATTAGAACAATTCAATATGTAAATCTAATACGTATCTTAAGTCGTGCTTTCGGGACATGAAAAACGCAAGTTGAATTTTGTCAATCGATTCAGTAGAACGGAAGATATAGATCTATCCCCCTTTTTTTTCGCTGTGTACATGACGCAGATAAGTAAACTGGGTAAAATCTATGGGTGCTAAAGAAAAGGAAATTGATGAAAAATAAAATGAAAATAAGTTTGATTGATCTGAGAGACTTTCATCAAAAAATTAAATTCATTTCTGAATTTGATAGAGAATAATTATCTTTAGAGTATCGATTGAATAATGCATCTTCATACTTTTCTCAATGCTTTAATTTTAAAAAAAGAGCAAAGTGTATGAATCTAACGAACATTCGAATTTTTCAAAGAGTTTTTACACAAAAGCAAAGCAATAGTTTCCAGAACAAAACCTAATTAAGAATATTTAACTTTGCTTATTCTTCAATTTATTATTTACTACCATGTTCTCAATTATGAAACGCATTCTCGAAGTTACTGTAAGCGTAGTTTTTCATTATTGTACTATGTACTGTGCCCGTAAAAGTCCTTATCCAACATTTATTTCCGCAATCGTTGGTCGTAGGTATGTACTTCAAACTACAAAAATATTTTATATGGCGCAAATATTCAAATTTGACATTTCTAAACTTAAAGTTTTGTAAAGTTAAGAAATCGAAATTTTTATATGTTCCGCGGTCCGTATACTCACGTAAAGGAAGGTATTGTACTCGTTATAAAATTAAAAAAAAAAAAAAAAAAAAAAAAAAAAGTTTGTCTCCTATAGAACAAAAATTGGTTGAGATATTTAATTTCCAAAACTTGCAATTTTGACGTCATTTTCAATTTACATAGAAATCTGTTAATGAATAAATTAGAATAATTCGAGGTTGAAGGTTTCCCTCTTAAATGTCATTTAATAATATTCTCTCATGATTTATTAGAGGCTTTAATTTACAATTTTGCTGCATTTGGTATGCTGAAAGATTTTTCGCACGAGTAAATTATACGTTTTCGAAGTTTACAAATACGTTCTTAAAATTCTCGTAAAATTTTATTACTTTAAAATCATAATCAGGTAATCTAAAAAAATTCAAAAAATGCAAATATTTTTTATCTTTAATTAATGCAATTAATTAATGTAAATAATCAGTTGGCTACATGCCTACACTGAAGTCTGCCAGTGTTTCTGTAAGATTCTATGAATAAGGTCTACTTTCTGAAAATAATTAGATTGATCAATATTTTTCACAATGCAGTTTACTGAACTGATTTCTTTAAATTTAAAAAATGCGAAATCATGTATATTTACGTTATTAAAACACTTTTGTAATTGGATATGCATGTCTATAACCAATGGCTGCGAAAATACACATCGTGTAAGGACTTTTGTGGACTCGGTAATTATATGTATGCATATATATTCAATTTACAAATTATATATTAATAAATATGAATCCAATCATCAAAATCAAATTGCGAATACGATTTATGATGGCATTTGAATGAGAACATGCACAAATTTTGGAAAATCAGACCTGCGCCACTTTTCTCCACTCTTCTCGTGCTGCTTCTTTTCCTTCCATTTCCATATCTCTGGCCTCGTTTCTCTCTAGAGTCTCGTGGACCCGGTCCAGCACCCTCAAAAACCGACGCTCGAATTCGTCGGAAGATCTCTCTCCTCCGCCCCCACCTCCTCCGCTTCGCCTGCGTAGCAGCTGAGGAGACGAGCTGTAGCGTTCGATGGAGGGTGGTGCTCCGCCCGCGGCTGCCCTCTTCCCCCGTCTCCTGTCCTCTTCGTCGGCCTCCTGGGGAGAGAAGAAAACAAGGGCAACAACTTCAAGATCTCAACTTATTTCGGAATTCTGCAAGAGCAAAAATACAATGGCACGAAAACAAGAAAACAGACGACAAAGAAAACTTCTAACAAGTTACGTGACTTCGGATTCTGATTCCAGGAAATTTAATCCGGAAATGGTACCAGGAAAACCGGAAATTTAATAGAAAGACAACTTTTTGAAAGAGTATCAAATTTCGACAATATGGAGCCCTACATTTCTGAATGCATGAGCACGAATATTCCTGCTCTGAAAAGAGATTAATGTTTGCAGCAAGTTTTTTATTTCTATTTTTAATTTACTTACGTTTCGGTCTTTGTGTGTATGCAAATGAACAGAACAAATTTTAAATTGCATAAGAATAAAATGCTAAACATTTTCTAAAATTGAAGAAGTCTGAGTATTTTAATTGACCATAACATAAGAAACAGAATGTTTTTCTCATGCTAAAAGTTCATTTTATGAATTAACTTTATTTCAGTCCTAATTCATTTCTCTGTTCTTCTTGCAATTTAAGTTAAAATTAAGTGGGCAAAGAAAATTTTGTTCAGTTTATACAGTTTGGCCTTCAAGTCGTATTCAAATTCTGAAACCTTCTCCTCTGCTGCTTGCCAAATCACTCTTGTCCTACTGAAACCGGCTCACTACTAGTCATTCCGTCTTGAAAGTTAAATCTTTACAATTTTAGATTCTTGTTCTAAATTTTTGATTTCAAAAGCCGAAATACTGATTTGCTAACAGACAAAATTGCATTAACTACCTACTCCTCCTTTGCATTACATATTGCCATTAGAAATCTGCAGATTTCTTTGCTCCTGACGAACAGGGACCTGTGCACGTTTGCCCTCAAGTTTGGCATATCTCTACGTAGAATCTATGCCAAACTCAAGGTTGTCGTGTTACTAATTTTAAGCAATGAAATCCTTTTGTAAACTGAACCATCCAAATTTCGATTGAGTATACATAAGAGGGGTTTTGATTATTTACTAAAATTTTTAAAACTTTATACTGTTTTTGAATGTTCTGTTTATTTAAGAACTAAACGTTCGCTATTCGTTTCGATTGTATTTTAAAAAGTCCGATGTGGGTCCCACATGACTTCCTTCTATGGCCTATTAAATTGTACATATCTTTTACTGCATTTCACTTAAACTTACTTGCTCAAGTTTCATTAGAGATATATCGCTTTCAAGTAATTTATTTCTTACTTCGCGGCAAAGCAAAAATACATAAAGTCACAAAACATCTTCACTGAAAATTATAAAGTACTGAAAAACATAAAAAACCAAATACAGTTAAAACAGTTAAAAAAGCATATTTTACAACTAGAGTTTCTACTCAAAAACAAGCAGTTCTGGCAGCGAACAAGAAGGCAGCTTTTTCGGTGCACATAAAGTTTACTTTGAAAGGTTACTTTTGATCCCACTCGGCAAAAAGGCACTGAAGATGCAAAAGCTGATTTAATTCCACTATTTTACTGAGTTTCAAATGTAAAAAAAGGGCGGTTTGTTAGGCTTAACTCGCCATTTAAGATTTTCAATTGTTGACAATTCTACAACTATCGCATGCAGATTAACTAAAGTCATAAAAACCACATAATTCAATCACTTTTAAAGCAAAAAATGCACAATTTACCGATATATAAGAATAAAAAAACTAAACTCACCGAGCCAGGTAACAGATTGCGAATATACATATGGATTCCCTCTTTTTTGATACTTTTACTAAATTTATATTAGGAGATAATATAATCAATATTTATTTATTAAATAAAATCTCTCTATATATTTTTTATTGACTAAAGAAATATTGATTATATTATCTCCTAATATTAACAACTTGTTAGAATAACTTGTTTCGAACTAAGTGAATTTAAGATCATACAACATTTTATATATATATATATATATATGTATATATACGATTGGTGCAGCCGACTGCAGCGACAAAAGGAGGTGCACAACTACATGTTATAGCAGTCCTATATGCAAAATTTGAACGTTCTACGGCTACTCGTTCTTGATTATGCAAGATACATACATACGTACGCACAGACGTCAAGAAAACAAGTTTCTTCTGGATTCACTTTAAATCCAGTTTACAATCCTTTTTGGAAAACCAGACCATTCCTTCTTTTTTCCCAAAAAAGAGTCCTTTATTCTGTCCGTACGTACAGATCTCAAGCAAAAACATCGTTCAAATGATTTCGGGAGCGATTGAAATGAATACTTTCGTTGAAATATGATACCTGATACCCGATACCCGAAATATTTCGTGATTACAACTCTTGCTTTACTTCAGATAAGGAAGTAAAAATTAGAAAAAGGGGACAAGAAAATTTTAAAAAATCGAAAGCATGCACCATTATTTATCATTTTATAGGTACAGTCTTCATAGAATAATCATTAAAAAGTAGTGAGTTATATATATTTCAACATTTTCTGAGTAATACATCAAGTAAAGTAGATTTGATTCAAAACTCAGAATGAAATCTCTGTGCAATTTCAGAATAATATGTAATATATAGAAATAAAATCTCTCTCTTCAGATAAAAAATATCTAGAGTTCAGTCTATATCTAGACTCATCAGTAAACAGTACAGACCCCAATTTTCTTGGCTACATTGAACATGACAATAATATTATTTTAAACGGGCCGATAGATGAGATGACTGGAGCACAAATTTTTGGTTTCCTCGGATAAAGTCCAATGTCATGAAGCTTTCGTTCAGCAGTAAAATGTTTGATTCAAGTTCATGTTGCAGCAAGCAGTTCTAAAACCAAATCTCTCCTAGTCGCTTCGCGTTGATTTCGATCCGACAATCACAGAAAATACTCTTCGGACACAATGACTACTTTTGACCGCTTTTGACAAGGTTTTCTATTAAGCTAATTAATTGCTTCGCACGCTTTTCCAAGATCTAGGTATAATACTTTTAGAGATATTCAAACGTTAGTCAACTTCCATTTGGGTTTATGCCTACCGTGGACTTCATAAATTAACCTCCGTTTTTGCCTTTCATTTAAATCATGACTTTGAGACATAACTAACGAACTTCAGAACTCACATTAACTTTATGCAAACCTACACAGCCGAATTCGAAAAGCAGCAAATAAACACAACATGCATAGATTGTTAAACATTTTGTAATTCGTCTTATGTAGATATTTCATTGCACTAACCCATGCACAGAAGAGTAGTTTTGCATTTACTTTCGGAAAATTAATATAAATAATTACACCAATTAATATAAACTTTTAATCTATGAATGTATTTCTTCAGATTATAATTCTGACGAAAAGTGTGCAATTGGCTTTAGAAGGAATAAATAAATTAATAAATTTAATTTATTTACTCATATATTTATCTGATGAGTAATATTAAATAAAACGCCAGTGCATACTAGAACTTTGTTGGAGTTTCTGGATCGCATGGCCAGGTAAGATAATGGTATATTTTTAGTGTTGGGCCAGACAAATGTGCAAAGGATTGCGTACAGTATTTCATATTTATTAACGCATGGAGAAATAACTGTTGCCCCCATAAAGCATTTTCGTTTCATTCTAAAAGTCATTTATTTAAAAAAACATTCACAGTGTGAATATTGAGTCTGAAATTTGAACACCAATACATATACATGACTTTGGTCTCCCTTTAAAAAGCTTCTGAGATAAGAATGGGATAAATACATTGATTAAGTAGAGTCTAATAAAGATTGATAAGCAAATATTTCAAGTCACAGTAAACAGAGAAATTATTTCCTTCAAAATAATACACTCATGTCCATAAAGTTAAGGATAAAGCAAAATCAGGCAAAGGAAGAGTTAGAAGCAACACAAATTTGACTTACTTGTAAAGCTTATTTATTAAACAAAAGGTAAAGAGCAAAAAAAGATGCTATATGTTTGATATTATTAAAAAAATTAGAGATTTTTTCTCCCTGGAACAAATAACAAAAAAAAAAAAAACCTATTTACAAAAACCAATATCACATGGTTGGTATGGTTGTTAATACGTTGTATGTCTCCCAGACGATGCAATACAGTCCGTACAACGCCTAAGCTTGCTGAGTATCAAATTATCGATCTGATCTCGGGGGATATTACACCACTCAAAAAGCAATGCTCTCCGAAGTTTGGTAAACATGTAGGAGAAGATTGACAGTCTGCAACTCGTCGGCCAAGTATGTCCCACACGTGCTCTACTGGATTAAAGTCCGGTGAGAATGCTGGTCATTCCATACGGGTGATATCCTCCGATTGAAGGCATTCGCTTACGATGTTTGCGCGTGAGGACGGCCGTTGTTATCCATAAACACAAATTGTGCGCCCATGGCGCCCCGAAACAAACGTGCATGTTGTTCCAGAATGACGTCCCGATAGATTTGACTTGTCATGGTTCCAATTTGAACATGCAGATCAGTTCTGGAACCCAGAATAATTCCACCTCAAACGAGCACTCCTGCACCACCGTAACGGTTTCGTTTAATGATGCTTTCTTGGTGGTAACGGGGACCTGGAGCTCTCCATATGAAAGTCCGACGAGAATCAGATTGCAAACTAAACCTGGACTCGTCGGAAAACATCACACAAGCCCACTGTTGCGGTGTCCACAATGCGTGCTCTCTACTCCAGGCTAACCGCAGGCGACAGTGAGTTGCAGTAAGTGGAACGCATCTGACAGGTCTACGAGCATATAGACCATACGAGCCATACGAGCATATCTGCCCTAAGCGTCTGTACACGGTCTGCCTTGAAATTGTCGTATCAGTGGCTGAAGAGAGCTGACGAGACAGGTCTGAGGCTGTGCTCCACCTGTTTCTTTTGGCAGTCACTGCCAAATACCGTTCCTCATTCGGCGTTGTAATTCTCGGGCGACCTGTGCTGTAAGATCTACTCACATTACCATCATCTTGAAATCGTTTCCAAAGCCTGGAGATGACACTCTGGGCAATTCCAAGTTCGTCTGATACATCCAGTTGGGTACGCCCACATTCCAGACGTCCGATAATTCTACCACGTAAAAAACCATCCAAATGCGTCCTTTGTGTCATAACTATTCGGTTATTGCACTGAAATGCTTATAAAGCGCCTGCGAACAATTTTACTTCTTTGCCTGTATTCCTTATATATCACTCTCTTACATTCTCGTCATTGTGACGTACCATCGGTGTCATCTGGTTACTTCCTGAAATTTGCGTGTGATTCTCGAAGATGTGTGTAGTAATTTTACAGGTGATATATTTATTTTAGAGTTCGATTTCGCGTGACTCCGAATTATCCTTAATTTATGGACATGAGTGTAGCAGTTTCAATTAAATTCTAGAACCTTTTATATAACGTCACTTCACATAACGAAAGGTATTAAGAATGATTTAGTTCAATTTTGTGATTGTGATAGATGCAAAAAAAAAAGAGTAAGCTTGGTGTTTTTAAACCTTCCAAAAATAATCAAATGCCTAAAACAACGATTTACAGAGTTTCTAAAAAGTAAAGAAAAGGCAGACATTTAGATATTAATGTAACAAATGAAGAGAAATCAAAAGACAAAACCAAGTCCTGAAAATTATTTTTATGTTTCATCCCAATCTCAGTGGTATTCTGTAGTTCTTTGTTCTTTAGAGAAAAATTTAAAGAAATATTCGATAGAAAAATAATGGGTCAGAACGCCAGATACAGAGAAGTAAATGCTTGTCGACCTGTATTATTTCAGAAAACTCTAAATGATTCAATTTACTTGAATCAGTGCATTAAAAGAGTTTGATATTTTACATCTAACAGCAATTTCTAAACGGATATATTTTTTGAGTGGACATAGTTATCCCTATTATGGGAAAGACAAGTTTTTGCTATTTGAACAACCAGAAAATTGATTTCATATCTCACGTTTTTTAGGCCTTATTAACGCGAATAAATTCTCTATGAAAAAACAGAAGCTTAAAAATTCAACTCATTTCGAGAAAATTCCTTTTAAAGATAAATTTCTAAATGAACAGCAACAGGAAACTTAAAATTTTGTAGCAATATAAATGTTTATATCAAAAATGAACTAAATGAATTCTAATGTAAATTTCAATTTTTAAATTATAGTTCTAATTTTAAGTAACTCTCAAATTTGTTTCATTCTTTTTGGAGATCGTTTTCATAACATATGAATCTACTTTGAGATACATGGTAGAGATTGCAAGGATGTATTTCAAGATGTTTCTTTAAAACGTTTGATCTGTATTCCTTTTTTTTTTTTTTTTTCGTCGCATACTTTATTTAATGAATTATTTGCGGTAAAAATCCATATGCTTTACAAATAGAGACGTCATAAAAACAGAATCTTCGTAAGCAAGATTCCAGTTAGGAAAATTAAAAGCTGTAAAGGACCACTTAAACAACTTTTCTTAGTCTGCGTAACTAATTGGAACTCTACATATATTTTTTTTGCAGGTAATCAATTCGAAGTTTGAAGATAAGCTTGATGTTAACCGAGTGGTTTGTATTAAATATGAAAAAAAAATGCAGTAGTTTTTTTGATACTCTGAAATCTGTCGTAAAGTCGTCTGGTAAACAGATTCTACATACTTTTGCTTCTGAAATGTATTCTTAAATTCGTCTAGTAAATTAATCCTATGTATCTTTTGCTGTTTACGTGACGTTTTCGAATCTTAAAATAATTACAAAGGGAATTAGAGCGTTGCTTATAATGGAAGATTATGGAAATTATAATTTAATTATAATTGCTGTCATTCGTTTGAAAAAACATTTTTTATTCTTCTGACCAGTTTACATTTTAAATTTAAAGCTTTTAGGCGTTTATTCTTTCATCCGAGATTTGGTCATACTTGACGGGCTACATTAACAGGCTATGAGAATTGCGAATTAATTAGCCTTGCACCAGAATATGAAAATAAGAGGAATTACGTTATATGTTACAGCTGTGTTGATGCATAAATTATTTATTTTTTTTTAACTTGAATAATTAATGTTATAATCATGAAAATATTTAATTCATAAACACCATGGAAATATATAATCTAATTATGGAAACTGTTTGTTAGATATACTATTGGTTTCATCGGTTAAAACTTATAATACACTGTTTAAAACTATTTCATAAATTTATTTTATTATAATTTTGAGTCGGAACGTTTACTGACAAATTTTAATATAGCATCATACAGTATTTTGATATATTTGCAATGCCACTTTTATGATTTTAGAAATAATAATGCTCTGAATGCAGAATTACTTTTATGTATAAGTGAGGTGTTCATAGCATATTTATTATGGAAATAGTTAAAATCACGACTACATAAACTATAATTATAATTCATTTGACCGAGCACTTTTAATTCTCCGATGTATGCATGGTTTACTTTTTCTGCACAAATCCACAGGGTGTTCTTCGTATTTATAATTGCCTAATTAAAATTTATAATAAAATTACAGCATTTAAATACATCAGTGCTATGTATGCTTATGCTTTCAGAGATTTCTGGAATCTTAATGCAATTATATCAGAGTTTAATTGATTCGTAAAAGGAAACAGTAATATTGTTACCCTTTGTGAATTTCTGAAACATAAACTAGTATTATAGACTAATATTTACATGATTATATAAGATACAAAATCTTCAGTAGCTTGTAATATTTTTCAAACATTAAATTAAATAAATGCTGATTATTATTTATCCGTGTTTGGTGAAATTAGGATGATCTATCGCATTTTATGTTTGTTTACAGTTAACTTATCATGAAATAAATTAATTTTACATTTTATGAACACAAGGAGTACCTGAAATCCCAACGCTCTTTTGCGTGAAGGACAAGGTTGAACGAATAGCAGCGGACCGAGGCACCCTATAACGCATTTACTCAACCATGGAGGTGGTGGAGTACCATCTAATCCTTTTCCATGGAGGCTCAAAGTCAAAGCAGACAAGAATGCTGCAGCAGACACCAAACAGAGGCTGCATATTTGATAGATACCTGTGATAACAAGCATACGTAAATATGTATTATTCTATACTTTAAAAATCTAAACTACATATTTGTTCTTAATATCTTTGAAATTTCGATTTTGTAATATTCGAAAAAATTTAGAGGTATTCGTTTTCATTCTAACAAAACAAATCTAATGGATAAGAATCTGTGTAATAATTAGCATTATTTTCATTAGAAATTATAGGCTTCGTTACAAATCTGAAACATTTACAATGTATCCTAACTAAACTTAGACCACAAAATGTGCCCAGTTATATTACTGTTGTTATTATTAGTAGTATCCTATTCCACCAGCTCAAGCAGAAGCAACATTGACTCATTCAAATCATTCTAACAGTCATATAATTTTTCTCTTTCTTACTTGTTTGCTAACACATCAGTTCTTTAACTCAGTTACTAAATCATTTGCTTGCTAATTCGTATGCTGAACTGTTCACGCTTTACAGTTTTGATCACGAATTAAAATTACTTTCTCACTTATTCATTCAGCCAGCTACTAGCTTAACTTCAAATTTAATAACTTATTCAACCTCTAAAATATTCACTTACTCAGTTGTTTTGTCAATCACTTACTGCTAGATCATTTGCATGTTCACTCAGTTCCTCGGGTTCTTTCACTTACTCACACATTCACTCACTCACTTTATTGTATCAGTTACTTGCTTAATCATTTTTTTCACTTACTCATTCAATTACTTTATTATATGTTGGTTCAATTACTCACTCACTTGTTCATTTAACTGTTTTCATTTGCTGAGTTACTCACTCATTCACTCAGCATTTATTCTCTCACATATTTGTTCTCTCATAATATAAGAGCAATGATTAATGATTACTAGAAGTTGACCCGGATACGAAGCAGGCGAACGGACTGCCCTCATAGGTGCTTTTCGTATTTTAACTGATATACAATGTGATTACAAGTCAGTTTCCTTCATATTAGCTTTTAGGAACCAAGTAGATAGCCATCGTGTGCTTTGCCATATTTAAATAAGTGATCTAACTATTATTTACTTATTTAGTCATTTGCTCTCTCAGTTAGTCATTCACCGAGTTGTTCATATACCTACGTTCTTTGTAATTTCTTTGTAATAAAAAGCACTTTCCCATGCAAGCATAATAATGACAATGAAGCGTAATAACTATAAATATTACAGTAGCTATAATAATAGTCTAACATTGAACTAATAGGATAGAAAAGCTTGATGTAAAGCTAATGTATTATCAGCATTACGATTAGGATTAGCTAACAGAACTTCTAAATTATCCGTTCAAAATCTCGAAGATAGTTTAGTCTCATAAAATTTGACATATGACATTAAAATTTCATACCGCTGACTTTAAAATTAAGAATGGTGTTAATCAGTAAAAGAAATGCAAAGCGTGAGGTTATCAAATTATCAAGTTTTTGACAAATTATGTTTGACCTTTTCATAATATTACTACTTCATTACTGTCAATACTGCTATCTGCATAAAACTTCAAATCTCCCTTTGGTTAATTTATAGGGTTCCAAGATGGCAGAAAGTTTTGAGTAACACTAGCATAGTTGAATAAAATGAAGTATGAACTTACTTAACAGTGGAATTTGAGGAGTGGGTGTTCTGGGCGCCCCTCCTCCAGCCACTGACACCAGTAGTAGAGACAGCAGGCAGCCGATAGCTAGAGTGACCCTTTCAGCAGATGATGGTGGCACGAGAAAGGTCAGAGCTGCTAGAGTACTCACTAAGAAGCAGGGCAGCACCTGGCGCAGGAGATGTGGACCCGGTCTGCGTCGGAGGATCAAAGAGAAGGCCAGGGCTTTTCCCCCCTCTGTCGTCGCTAGAGCGTCTTCCAGGTGAAATTCCGAATTGGCTTGGAATGAAGAAAGATCCACAGACTCCGCCATTAGAGACATCTGTCGTTCGATGAAAAATGAAGAAAGTTTCATAAAATAAGATTTTCTTTCCCTGACAATACATTACTAATGCTAGTTTTAACGATACACAAAGGGCAGGTTTTAGACATAAATGCAAGATTACCTTTGAAATCTAATTTTGTGTAAATCAGCAGGTCTAACTGCAAATTTTTAAAATACACTCATGTCTAAAATTATCTTCATATGTGTAAAATCACGGATTTCTCAGAAATTGTGACTTATAATTTTATGAACTTGCGTGAATGATATATATAACATCATAACACATAAATACAAAGGAAACAACTTAACGAGGATTGAATATGAAATAAAAATGTAGTAAGAATCATTAAAAATAGTAATAAAATGTTATAAGTATAGTTAAAAATGGAATAACTCAGGAAAAATTTAAGACTCATGAATTTAATATGGGATGCGATCTTCCCTAATTTATGCACGTATATTAAACACGCAATGTTCTTTTATGTTAGCAATAATGTTATTAACCACATTTTGAGGAATTACGCTCTACGGCTTCAGAAATGCGGTCGTCAGGGCATTGACATCTCCAGAAGAACGATGTATCCATAAAAGTGCCTTTCCAGGGTATTCTCATAAGGGATCCACCGGGTTAAGATCAGTAGATTTTACTGGCCATGGATTTCCCTCAATGCTTTAACATTAAAGGAATTTTATAACTAGGTTTGCTGGATGTCAACGAGTACTATCGTGAATAAATGAATAGTCAGATCCATATGCACATCTCAAAAGTCTTCCTGAAAGTTCTAAGATTTCATTCCCCTATCTCTGGCCGGTCACAGATCCGCTGTTGGGAACTTGTTGGTGCGTTACGATGATCATTATTCCTTCCCATACCATCATGCTTGCATTACCGAAACAGTCACGTTGCGTAATGTCCGAACGAAGATTCTTCGTTGCTGACTTCCTCCAGATGTAAACACGTTCAGAATCAAATGTTAAACTAAACCATCAGTGATAACTCATCAGCAATAAGACTCTTTAGTAATAAGAACATGGCAGCGATCGTATTCAATCCAATTCAGGTGCGCTTAGCCCCAGTTAAAGCTATCTTTCTTTTGTTGTGAAGAGAAAACACAACCTTGGCTTTCTGGCACAAAGGCATTATTAAGCTTTCTTAAGCATTTATTTTTATTACGTTTTCTGAATACAGCCTGTCATGATAAAATAGTTTCAGTAGCAGCTGTAAGCTCTGAACTTAACTTTCGAGCAGTAGACTTTCCATTACGATGGGAAGTTACTTCCAGATACCGACCTTGAGAAGTAGTTGTTATTCATTTACAACTTTGTCCAGTTCTTCTAGGAACAGTTGTAGAGTTTTGAAATTGTTTCCACAGCACACTCTCTTCCTGGAATTCGAACTCCGGACCATCCCATTGCTGGTCGGAGATGCTTCATCATCAAAAAAGCACGCGATGAGGAAGAAGAATAAACTAACTTACTTAACAGTGGAATTAAAGCTTTAAATGTTTGAAAAATGGCTCCAGAGTATCGATATTCAGACTTTGATTCCTAAGTGTATATAATTTAATGTTTGTAAATCTGTCGAAAGTAATTAAATTAAGAGATCACAAAAACATTTGTTTAAAATTAAGACGTATCTTTGTATACAGCATTGCAAAGAAAATTCTAGATTATAGTGGTCACTTCATGATAAAACTTTGGTATATATCTTGAATTAAACTCTACTATTATCAAACACATCACTTCACTGATGACAACAAAAAAGACTATTTTAATTAGTACCGTTAATTACCGAGAACATAAAAATTGCAAAATTGCAATTAGAAAAAATTAAATTGTGTTCAACTAACTTCCTTTACAAAACCAGTATGGCATCAGGTGAAAACATCTGATAGAAATCTCATCACTTAGCCAATGTTTAAGTAAATAATCATTTCATTTTCGAATTTATTATTAATTAAGTGTTGAATTTCGATTTCTTAGAATAGCAATATCTCTCATGCTCATTTTTTACAATACTTAAGTTTAAAAGTTACATTCAACAGAATTCATTTTATGTGAATCCAAAAGTGCCTTAACATTCAAAATCAAAAAAGTAGTTCTAGTCTATGCCTTAACATTGTTAATAGTATAAGGTATTTTCGAATCCCAGCGAAAGCAGTGCACATTTTTCACATTCCAGCCTCAATATAACCTAGTGACTCAACAGTGGTGCCCAACTAAAGGGAGATGGACGATAATTCATCATCACCAGGTTTGGCAACTGGTCTGCTCATTCCCAGTCGCCCTTTAAAACAGGGAAGCACGTAAGGCATTTTCTCCTTCCTTTCCGCATGCCTTCGTGGTGTGACTGGAAGCACCCTCGATGTGTATTCGGGAGGTCAGGAATTTGAATCAGCGGCTAGGGTAATGCATATTTTTCACGTCTCAGCATATATAATGACTAAAATATTTACATAGTATTTATTTTTCTTAGTAATTTATTGGTAACGGAGCCACACATTTAATAATACAACGAGAGGTGAATATTTTTGGATGCAATTTGACCTATATTTTGTGACCTGTAATATTTATTGAGCCTGATTTGTTTTATTTAAAATGCAGAAAATAATATCGTTGCGTAATTAATAAATTTCATTAAATTCATATCATTAGTAAACAGTACCCTCAACTCACGATGGGTGCAAGCCAAATCATTCTATCAAAAGCTTACTTAGGTCATGATATTTTGCAGTTAGACCTAGTAATCAAACCGTTTCATTTTTCTTTTAACTGACTTCCAGTTTTAACACTGGTTAATCATGAGATTATTTTTGTTGAACGTAAAAACATCATAAATAAGCTATTATTCTAGAAGATAGAGTTTTCGTATATTTTAATTGATATCAGTTGGATGCGTCATTAGATGTAAAATAAAGAATTAAATTATTAAGAAGTTCCGTTTTGTTTTTAAAGCTCTTAGTTTGTTAAGTAGTTGCCGACTGATTATATCAGAAATAAATTTAAATAAATAAATAAATATTTGTTTTGATTGGCAAAATTCTGATACTTTATTGTTCGTGAGGTAACCAGGAATATAATTTAAAGATCTAATGTAAATGTCGGCTAAAAGCAATTTAATTTAGACAGCTGAGATATTTAAAAACAAAGCAAATTTAAGGCCTTTTTTGGGGAAATTAAAATTTTACATTGTCTTATTACTCTTGCTATGAAAGGTCACTTTTCGAATAATGGAAGCAGTTAACAACACAAACGACAGGGATGATAAATGCATGATAGTGTAATATAACGAATCGTAACAGCCATTATTTAAGGAAACGTGGCTGAAAATGTCTATATCATCAAAATTATCATGCTGTTACTATTGTTTTGACTATAACAACTCCATCTTTAGAGCTATGCTGACCCTTTAGAGAAAAATATAAACCAGAATAGCTCTAAAGTTTTATATATTAACTAATTAGTTTAAGTAATTTCTTTTCTTTGATTCTCTCACTTTCACCTCAGTTATGCTAGAAAATATAAATTAAGCTTAGGCTATTAGCCAAAAATTTTAATGGTTGTGTAAACCCAGTCTTTTGCTCATTCTTGCGGTATTTGTGTTATTCGCCACATGGTAAACTTCACAAAGTTTGACTTGCTTACAAAGTAATTACTGGTTAATTATGATTAAGATTCTAGCTAAATGCTTGTGAGTCTGTTAGGATTACAGTCTATTGATTGCTTTGTAACTTTCACCCAAATCACACTGTTCCCTGTAAACAGCTACTTTTAGAAGTGACCTTCCAGGAAGTTGCCGCTATTTGATTTACAATTTATAGTGAGATTTGCAGTTTACCACTGATTAGGGAGAAATAAAAAACTATAGTTTAAACTCAAGTTGCAATTTGGTTTGCTGGTTTTCACTAATTTAAGGCAAGGAAGAAAAGAACAGCAGCAAGCTCCAGTTACTTGAAAATTAGAACTCAAAAGAGTATATTACTTAGATAACGCCAAGTTCCATTATATGAAAAGATCATCAATAGATGAGCAACTAAATTAAACGCAGGATGAATTATTAGTTTATAAGCATCTTAATAACTGAATGATATGACTTTACTGTGTTTTTCCAATTTCCTCGTATGTAATGTTAATATGAGTTTATATAACGAAACACGAGTAATTTCTTTTTAAAATATTCTTCTAAAAGATATGTATCCTGAAGTCAACAACCTTTGAACACATTTGATAAGTATTAAACCTACCCAGATATCAGTAAACTGTTCGGTGTTTCCTAACTTTTTTATTTCTATTTGAAAACTATATTAATATTTTTGGTAATGTTTCTTAATACAGTTTAAAACACAATCGTTAACTAAGTCATTAACTTTAACAAACGCGTACGTACTTATTCGCTTAATTTTCTGAACAAGTTTAGCTACTATTATGAAATCTCTTCTTATTCTTGCCAAGTTTTGTAAATGTGACTTCAGAAATCAATTTTTTTTCTATTACAGCAACATGAAAGATTTTCAAAAATTTAAGGCCGTTATATTGCTTTACGCTACGCAATCGTACGCTTATTACTGCACAAAACATATAGTCTTCGAATTTTCTGAAGGCCATCATGCATAATCGAATCTCGAAGAATGACTTCGGCCAAGATTAAATCAGCTTAAGTTAGTCTGTAAGTGCTTAACACATGAAGAATTTAAAAGCAGTACACGTTTTATGTGATAAATTAAAGCGTTATTTTACTTTTAAACGATATATCTAACTGATACACTTAAAATGCTTTTAATTTATAATATACATTTTAATTTATAAAAAGTAAATATATTTTTTTAATTTCTGTATGTTACGTACCTGGTAGAAAAAAGTTTGATTTTTTTATTAATATGCAGTCTGTTACGGCTTTATTTCTTTCGAATTTAAGCATTAAATTAAACAGTATTACAGTACTTGCCCTACGCAGTAATGTTCAAGTATACCTTAGTTAAAATATTTTGTAAAACTAA